TTTTAATTCGTCGAATTTTTATTATGTCCCGACATAATTTTCATTCATCGAATTTTTATTATGTCTCGACATAATTTGAATTCCTCAAATTTTTATTATATCTCGACATAATAAAAATTCTTGAATTATTATTATGTCTCAACATAATTTTAATTCATTGAATTTTTATTATACTTCTACATAATTTTAATAATTTAATAATAATAATTCTAGAATTCTTATTATGTTGAGACATAATAAAAATTCGATGAATTAAAATTATGTCCAGACATAATAAAAATTCGATGAATTGAAATTATGTCGAGACATAATAAAAATTCGATGAATTAAAATTATGTCGAGACATAATAAAAATACGATGAATTAAAATTATGAGACATAATAATAATTCAAGAAGTGCACAGACAAGAAAGTAGAGAGACCTTTGAGGGAATACCTGGCTTTAAAATCACGTATGAGCTGTTTGCTAACACCTAATATTAAACGTTTTAGTTGTTCACAATCAAATAACGATAGTTTGCATTCTGAATCTGGCGATGCAAAAGCTTGCTTCTCGAGTAACATGCTTGCAAAACTTTATAATTTATATGATTAGATACCCAATTTTATGTATTATATTAGTCGATTGCTTTATTTTAGGATTATTTTTTAAAGACTAAATATTTTCCTTGTCTAATATTTTTATATTAATAGCATAAATGTGCAGAACAAATATGTTATTCTATTTTTCTTTTGTTTATTTTTTGTTTATAAAGCTGTGTAAAGGAGAATTCTAATTGTAATTAAAAAAAAACTAATTTATAATAGAGCAATTGTAGAAAATAGAAAATGATTATTAATAATATATTAATTATTGCTTATATGAATTAAACATTTGATCTTTATAATTCATTATTAGGGATATTAAGCTTTATATTTTAATCATTATCGATTTTTTCTATTTACTAAAATTCCTCTAACAATGATACATAAATCTAGGGACCTAAAATTTGGAAGATATTAATTATCGCTTTCACTATCAGATCCTGACATCAATAATGGGGAGGGGGAGGAGTTTCTGCAAAATTATTTAATTAAAATTTTTTGTTCCATGCTTAGTCTTTACTCTAGGATCAATGACGTATTTTTTTTTTATTTACAAGAGGGAGGGGGGACGCACGAGAAAAACTATAACTTTTCTATTTTTACACACACACACACACACACACACACACACACACACACACACACACACACATATATATATATATATATATATTATACATCCCTGCAAACACAGTATATAAATGTTATATACTTAAACATGTTACATGTAACGTATAAGTTAGTTGTAATTTCTCACTCATAGATGTAACATTTTTAATATTACATATATTACATTGTAGTTATATTGTCATTATATCCCAAGATAGCACTGACTTATCAATACATCAATGTGCTATTTGGTATATAATTACAATATAACTACAATGTAATATATGTTATATTAAAATGTTACATCTATGAGTGAGAAATTACAACTAACATGGATGTTACATGTAACGTACACGTTATATTACCTGTTATATTCCGTTTTATTAGAGCAATGTAACAATTATATATCGGTGTTTGCTGGGATATATCTATGCACATTTATTTCGAGAAGTCTTTGATACCTACAAGTGCATCGCGATATAGATGCGTTCGAAATCACGAAATAAAAATCCTTTACAAAATAATAAAAATTAAAATTGTTACTTGGATGTACTTGGTGAATCGAAACGCAATCTATTACACCGCAATGTTATTGGTCTTCTGCAAGGACGAAGATCCTCGCGAAGGTCTCGGAAAAGCATTCACTCTTGCCATGAGTGCCAGGATTTGTACTGATACAGCAAAAGGTGAAAGATATGTTGACGAGCTTCTTGAAGAGAAGCGCCGTCCAAAGAAATTGGAATTAAGTAAGGATTATCTTCGTGAGAAAGCTAATAAGGTAAGTTATAAAATTTATGCTAATTTATGCTATTATTTGAAGCTGACTTTGTTACTTTTGCGATTAAATAAATTATATAAATAAAATAATATAAAGTATTTGAAATAATATATAAATACGAAAATAAGAGAAAAATGGAAAACAATGATTATGTATTTGCATATATGCAAAAATCTTTATATGATTTTGTCATAGATTATAATTTAAATATCATAGATATTTGCTGAATCAATAGTTAATAAGACAACAAGATGGATGATTGAGAATACTATTTGTTCCATAAAAAAATTAAATTGTTAACTTATATATGTATTTGATTTAATATGAATATTAAATCAGTTATATATCTTTGAAAATAAATTGATAAGAATATATAATACATCAGTAATTATATCGTAAATATAAAAATAAGTATCCTTAGGAATCTCGGAAGAAAATGCAATTGTTACATAAAAATATATTCGGTTTCAAATAGTGCGAGAAATTATTAATCACATAATGAATAGAGTAACAAAGGCTATTATTATATTTGAAAAAATTTACGATCATGATCTACTTCCGAAACAGCAGTTAATGTATTGAGCGAAATAGATCCAGCTCAACTTTTGCCACCGCAAGTAACAGCGAAGCACTTAGATGTAGAAGATTTATCTGTATTGAGTGACGAACACGAACACAAGACGTATTTGCCATCAACTCCATCAGCTGATGGAGAGCCTGAAGATTACGAAATGATTCGGCGAGATGAGAGAATGATCTTTTGGCTGCCACAGGATGTTTGCATGGTAAATTTATTTATTTATCACTCTCGTGAATAACTCTAATTAATCTTTTTATTTTCTAACAAAAAAACTGCATTTTATAATCAGAAAAATGAATTTTAAACTTAAAAAACAAAATTTATAGTAAATTTTAGTTTGAAGTTTGAAGCAACATTTTATTTATTTAGAAAAGCAATTTTTAATTAGAAATCTAATCTAATTTAAATTAGAAATGTAAATATAAAATCGTATTGAAAAAATATATACATATATAAATTATGTAAATATATTTTTACAATATAATTTTTAAGTTTTTTTTAAACAAATGTAGGTCAGAGTGATAATTTTGCTTAAAAATAATGTTTATTCGAATAATTATTTTTTTAGACTGTGTTATCTACGTGTTTACCGTGAATTGCATCACAAGCGAATATTTTTCAAACCTCTATGAGTCTTTGCGAAGAAATATAGCACGTATACAATGAATTGAAAGATAAAAAATTAAATGATGATGAAAATCTCGTTTTAGTTCATCGTTTATTAAATCATAGTTTTATTTATGAATTATTAAGTGTTTCCGACATGTTTGTTCCAAAAAATATGACAGATCTACTTCGAAACATTCTAAAAGAAAAATATGTCATTCCACGTCAAACCGGACACTTTTGAACAGCATGTTCTTCAAAATTGTCATTACTGTTTTTATAAGTTCTATAGAACAAATAAATACATAAAATAATTTTTTTAACTTTTTAACTCTAATATTTCGGTAAAGGATTTTTTTACTCAGTTTGACTTGCTCTATCTGTACCTTACAGGTGGGGCGCGAGTTATTAGACACTCTGTATTTATATTTATATAAATTCTATAAAAGTTTCAACATAAAACTTTTTTTTAACTTATAAAGTTATTTTATTACATATTTGAAATAATAATTAATTTGAACGTTGCTTTAATTTAGATTTTATATGTTACAGATAACACGTGTAGATTTAACATCAATTACTTAAGTCTCCCGCTGTTGTGCATCGGTGTCAGTAAGTGATAAGTTAATTTTTATTTAAATTTTTGAGGTAACGGATTTATAAATCGTAGTTGTAGATTGTGTAGATTGTAGATTTTATAGATTGTAAATTGTAGATAAGTTAAGTGTTAAAGATAGATTCGTTACCTTAAAATGTATAGACTAGAATTAAATCATTCTTACTTAGATTGGACTTTGAATAAATGACTTTAATATACATAATTAAAGCATATTGCATATAAGTGTAAATTAAAATATAAATTAAAGAACGATATAAAAAATTCAATTCAGATTTCACTTATTTGTTTTATTTAAAAACCGCGCTTGTGATTTTATTTATTGTACATATTAACAACTGCATTATATATAAAAATAATTTATTCTTTTAACAAACGTTTGTAACATAACGTCGAGTCATTAATCAAAATTGGTTTCATATATATTTTTCTAACAATATATATATAAATTTAACGATGTATGACAAATCGTGATTTCTTACGGTCATATCCGAGTGTAAAATTACACTCATGCACTGGCGGTAATGATAATTATAGCCGGAAACGGAAGGAATCTCTCTCCTTCATTGATATCTCTGATAGAGATTAAAGTTACACTGACTAGATGTAGCCAGAATGATTGTGGCCAATAAAGGTAAGTCCACCTAAAAAATAATTAATTTAATCATAAAATTACGCTATAACGGGTTTAAATTGTTCAAATAGATACACCAAATTAATTCACATACATAATACTGTATTTGTTTTATACTTTTTGATACTTTTTATACAAATTTTGAATCATAGAATAAATTAACTATATTCTTAAAAAGTTATTAGATTTCAAGGAATAATGTAGGAAACGAATATTATGAAACATTACAAAAAATATTTATAACTTTATAAAATAATTTTTTCATATTCAGTTTTTTCGGTGTGTTTAAAGTTAGCATTTTATTTTGTGAAAATTCGTAAATAATTAAGAATTCTGACTTTATTTACTCTAGACTGTGTAGTGCGTTTGAAAATATGTTCACCTAGAGTCAATTGGGCTTCGACCAATCGGAGCCCGAGGATCTCTATTCTGATTGGCCGGGCGAGCTTCAGTCTAGACAAGAATAGAGTTGCGAATACAATCTAGGTTGCTAACCACTGGTTCGCCGCGCCACCGCGCATGCGCACACATCCCCACCTCTCCGACTTGCTTCTTCCTGCAGCAAAGCTTCGGTTTGGGACTGATGCTTACGTGCTTTTTTGCCGGTCCGGTCCGCGACAGTATACGAGTGCGAATGTTAACAGTGTCGAGTATCTTTATATGGTTAATCGTCGCATAAGTCCGATCGCGCGTCTCTGGTCGTATTTCCGTGCCGTCGTGTCGAAAGTCGTTGGGCGACATGAAAAGCTCGTAATCAAGTACGTCGCGACGCGCCGCCATGTTGCTCGGCATCGTACGTTGGGTCTCTGCCGTGAACCGTCGAGTCGGAAATACTCGGCAAAGAGCGAGAAATACATATATTCATTGTTCATTATCGAAATACGCGACGACCGCGAGTGTATATAGTGCTCGAGAAATGCTCCTTTCGCCGGATTCTCGCTCGAGGAGCTGAAATGGTGCAATCGCGAAATGGTGCCGTACGCATTCGCGAAATGGTGTCGTGTGCAAGGTGCTCGGACGATTTCCGACATTCGCCGGTAGTCATTTCGATTCTTATCTATCGAATTTCGGCGACATTTCGACGCTCCGTTGTTCGGAGTTATCGCGCGTGGAAGCTCCTGCGCGATTTCCGCGATTTCTTCGTCGTCAAATAGTGAGTGGAAAAATATAGTGAAGTGCCCAAATCTGGAATAAGTGAGATATAAAATATATAATAAAGTGCAGTGGCCAATTTTGGAATATCAGCGAAAATATAGTGAAGTGCCCAAATCTGGAATAAGTGAGATATAAAATATATAATGAAGTGCAGTGGCCAATTTTGGAATATTAGTGACCCCTAGTGCGTCGCGAGGGAATTAGCTGTCGTTGTTTGATGAGACCCCCCGATAGGTGGCTCTTGAAGTAAGTGGTGACGCGAAAATGGAGCATCGTGCGCGAATAAGCTCTCGCGATTCTCTTTTCCCGAAAATGTGATAATAAAAACCCGAACGTCGCCGCTCGTCGCGATCGAAAAAAACAAGTAACGCGAGTGCAAGTGTTTCGAAGTTTCTTCTGAGAGGAGGAGGAGCCCCGGAGTGGCATCGGGTAACGGCAAAGGTACTACATGGTAAATAATTTATTTTTTATTATTACTATTTTTACTGTTAAACTGAGTGTAAGTTCCACTTGCGTGTGTCGTCGTGTCATTGTTCTTTGTGTTCAAGATAGAGACCAGAGATAACACAAATAATCGAATTCGCTTTTATGATTATTTAACTTTCATTGTTAACAATTCGTAAGTGTATCTGAGAAATCATTTATCCAAATAAATCGCGTGATTTATGTACATACTTAATATACTTAAATTAAGTTAGGTAAAAGTTTAAAGTATCGGAGCGAGATGAAAATTTGATTGTTATAATGTGATATTTATAGACAGTTATTTTTTTAACAGTGCTTTTTGAACAAAATTTTTTAAACAATTAATTTGCTCGAAAAATTAACTCTTCCGAATTTAAAGATATGCTACCAGTCGATTTTCAAAAGTTCTATTTTTTTCAAAACAACTTTTATATAGTTTTTAACCTTTCCAAAATTATTTTTTTTCTAGAGCCGTGACACAATAAATTAAAATTTCAAATCGATAGCATTATCGAAATACGTTCAATATCTAAATTCCATCACGGAACATTTTCGGAAAAAATAATTATGCAAAATATCTTTCAATTTTTTTAGTTATCAAAACTTTTCAGGAAGCCAATTTGCAGAGATCTAAACAATTGCTTTAAAATAAGAACTTAAAAATCGAATGATATTCATTTAAAATATAAGCATATTTTTCGGGCAAAATAATTATGTAAAAAATTCCTAAAAGTTTTAATTCTCAGAACAATGAGTTTGTAGTTGTATTAGTAGTAATTTTCATTTTGTTTGTAGTTGTACAATTTAAAATTTGCAATTGTTTAAAAAGATGGTCAATAGTCAAATTTGTCAATCATGAAGATTTTTCAAATCTTCCTTTTCCATGTGATTCCGATTCGTTTGTAGTTGTTTGACACAATCGCAATCGAAATTTATATTCAAAAAAGCAGATTTTATAAAATCTTCAAATTTGACGAATAGTTTAGACAACTATCTTAAACTATTGTAATTTCTTAACTGTGCAAATAAAAACAAAACGAAAATCACTTTAAACAACTGTAAACAATTCTATATAAAACTGCGTATTTAGACTTGCATTATTATAAAGTTAGATGCCCGTCATAATTTTAAACTATTGATTTTCATATTGACAACGCGCACGATCCAAATACTATCGTCTTCCGCATATAAAAACTTTAAAGTCAGGTCCCACATTTACATTAATATTCTAAAAACATGACATTTGCAATTGTACACATAATTTTTTAAACGAAGATAGATCGACGTCGAATTTGAAAAGAAAAATTTAAAAAGTGAAAGACTTTATGATATTTCAAATTGATATGCTCAGTATAATTTAGAATCGTTTGCTGTTGTTTGGAACATTTGCAATTGAAATTTACATCGCTAGAAAAAACAGAATTTATAAATTCTCAAATTTGAGTAAAAGTCATCTGTCAAAATTTTTTTTAAACAATTGTATTTTCTAAACCGTGCAAATACAAGCGAAACGAAAATCACTTTAAACAACTGTAAACGATTCTATACAAAACTGGCCTGTATGAAGTTAGCCCCCCATTTTTCGAATTTAAAAATTTTAAAGGTTGTTTCAGGTTGTTCTAGACTTGTTCTAAATTGTTCCAAAAGATCAAATTTAAAAAATAAAAATTTTCGCGAAAAATGGAAAAAAACGATTTTTTGACCTGGCCCCCCATTTTTCGAAAATCGAACTTTTAAAGGTTGTTCCAGATTGTTCTAGTTGTTCTAAACATTGTTCCAAAGTGATAATTCCCTAAACAAAATATTTCACGAGATATAATAAAAAAATAGTTTCGTGCGCTAAAACAGTATTTTTACGTTTTCGGCTATAGTTATTATCTTTTAAACACCAAACTGTATATTTTAGCTAAAAACGAACAGAACAACCTGGAACAACTCTCAATTTTGCTAGAACATAATTTTAAAGAGTACTTTACTCTTGGAAATAAACATATTTTTGTTGTTTTTTCGTGTTTTTCGACCGATAACGACGTGACAGCGATCCCAAACTATAGAACAATTACGTACTGGCATAGAACAACTTGGAACAACTCTCAATTTTGCTAGAACATAATTTTAAAGAGTACTTTACTCTTGGAAATAAACACATTTTTCTAGTTTTTTTGTGTTTTTCGACCGATAACGACGTGACAGCGATCCCAAACTATAGAACAATTACGTACTGGCATAGAACAACTTGGAACAACTCTCAGTTTTGCTAGAACATTATTTTAAAGGGTACTTTACTCTTGGAAATAAACACATTTTTTTGTTTTTTCATCTTTTTTGCCCGCTAAAGTCGCGATAGCGGTCCCAAACTATAGAACAATTACGTACTGGCACAGAACAACTTGGAACAACTCTCAATTTTGCTAGAACATAATTTTAAAGAGTACTTTACTCTTGGAAATAATCACATTTTTCTTGTTTTTTTGTGTTTTTCGACCGATAACGTCGCGACAGCGGTCCCAAACTATAGAACAATTACGTACTGGCATAGAACAACTTGGAACAACTCTCAGTTTTGCTGGAACATTATTTTAAAGAGTACTTTACTCTTGGAAATAAACACATTTTTTTTGTTTTTTCATCTTTTTTGCTCGCTAAAGTCGCGATAGCGGTCCCAAACTATAGAACAATTACGTACTGGCATAGAACAACTTGGAACAACTCTCAGTTTTGCTAGAACATTATTTTAAAGGGTACTTTACTCTTGGAAATAAACACATTTTTTTTGTTTTTTCATCTTTTTTGCCCGCTAAAGTCGCGATAGCGGTCCCAAACTATAGAACAATTACGTACTGGCATAGAACAACTTGGAACAACTCTCAGTTTTGCTAGAACATAATTTTAAAGAGTACTTTACTCTTGGAAATAAACACATTTTTCTTGTTTTTTCGTGTTTTTCGACCGATAACGTCGCGACAGCGGTCCCAAACTATAGAACAATTACATACTGGCATAGAACAACTTGGAACAACTCTCAGTTTTGCTAGAACATCATTTTAAAGGGTACTTTACTCTTGGAAATAAACACCTTTTTTTGGTTTTTTCATCTTTTTTGCCCGCTAAAGTCGCGATAGCGGGCCTGTATGAAGTTAGCCCCCCATTTTTCGAATTTTAAAATTTTAAAGGTTGTTCCAGGTTGTTCTAGACTTGTTCTAAATTGTTCCAAAAGATCAAATTTAAAAAATAAAAATTTTCGCGAAAAATGGAAAAAAACGATTTTTTGACCTGGCCCCCCATTTTTCGAAAATCGAACTTTTAAAGGTTGTTCCAGATTGTTCTAGTTGTTCTAAACATTGTTCCAAAGTGATAATTCCCTAAACAAAATATTTCACGAGATATAATAAAAAAATAGTTTCGTGCGCTAAAACAGTATTTTTACGTTTTCGGCTATAGTTATTATCTCTTAAACACCAAACTGTATATTTTAGCTAAAAACGAACAGAACAACCTGGAACAACTCTCAATTTTGCTAGAACATAATTTTAAAGAGTACTTTACTCTTGGAAATAAACATATTTTTGTTGTTTTTTCGTGTTTTTCGACCGATAACGACGTGACAGCGATCCCAAACTATAGAACAATTACGTACTGGCATAGAACAACTTGGAACAACTCTCAGTTTTGCTAGAACATTATTTTAAAGGGTACTTTACTCTTGGAAATAAACACATTTTTTTTGTTTTTTCATCTTTTTTGCCCGCTAAAGTCGCGATAGCGGTCCCAAACTATAGAACAATTACGTACTGGCATAGAACAACTTGGAACAACTCTCAGTTTTGCTGGAACATTATTTTAAAGAGTACTTTACTCTTGGAAATAAACACATTTTTTTTGTTTTTTCATCTTTTTTGCTCGCTAAAGTCGCGATAGCGGTCCCAAACTATAGAACAATTACGTACTGGCATAGAACAACTTGGAACAACTCTCAATTTTGCTAGAACATAATTTTAAAGAGTACTTTACTCTTGGAAATAAACACATTTTTCTTGTTTTTTTGTGTTTTTCGACCGATAACGTCGCGACAGCGGTCCCAAACTATAGAACAATTACGTACTGGCATAGAACAACTTGGAACAACTCTCAGTTTTGCTGGAACATTATTTTAAAGAGTACTTTACTCTTGGAAATAAACACATTTTTTTTGTTTTTTCATCTTTTTTGCCCGCTAAAGTCGCGATAGCGGTCCCAAACTATAGAACAATTACGTACTGGCATAGAACAACTTGGAACAACTCTCAGTTTTGCTGGAACATTATTTTAAAGAGTACTTTACTCTTGGAAATAAACACATTTTTTTTGTTTTTTCATCTTTTTTGCTCGCTAAAGTCGCGATAGCGGTCCCAAACTATAGAACAATTACGTACTGGCATAGAACAACTTGGAACAACTCTCAATTTTGCTAGAACATAATTTTAAAGAGTACTTTACTCTTGGAAATAAACACATTTTTCTTGTTTTTTTGTGTTTTTCGACCGATAACGACGTGACAGCGGTCCCAAACTATAGAACAATTACGTACTGGCATAGAACAACTTGGAACAACTCTCAGTTTTGCTAGAACATTATTTTAAAGGGTACTTTACTCTTAGAAATAAACACATTTTTTTTGTTTTTTCATCTTTTTTGCCCGCTAAAGTCGCGATAGCGGTCCCAAACTATAGAACAATTACGTACTGGCATAGAACAACTTGGAACAACTCTCAATTTTGCTAGAACATAATTTTAAAGAGTACTTTACTCTTGGAAATAAACACATTTTTCTTGTTTTTTTGTGTTTTTCGACCGATAACGACGTGACAGCGATCCCAAACTATAGAACAATTACGTACTGGCATAGAACAACTTGGAACAACTCTCAGTTTTGCTAGAACATTATTTTAAAGGGTACTTTACTCTTGGAAATAAACACATTTTTTTTGTTTTTTCATCTTTTTTGCC